GTTCAGTAGACATGCAAATAAGGACCGGCCTTGTTTGGCTCCAAAACAGACTGGTTTAATTTGAATATGTTTGCAATTCAAGTCTGGGAGCAGAAAACCATCAGGTCGAAGTTATTCTGAAGCTAGAAAGTGATGGTGTCTTCAAAAGCCACCGTGGACTGGGACGCGGGAAACCTAGATTCCAGCCCCAACTTGACATGCCACTGACGATGGGGGTTAGACAGGACAGAGGGAGGGAGAAAGATGAGAGAGAGATGGGGGGGAGAAAGATGAGAGTGTAAGAAAAGCAGGCAAAGGTCACTGCCCCCCTGCAGCTGCATTTCCTGCCCTCAGACGCCAGTGTGACATAACCCTCTGCTTACTGGAGCTAACCAGAATGGGATTTTATGCCTTGCAATTAATAATTTACTATCCACTGGCAAAGTCTCACATGCAATTTTCGGAGCCCACATCCTACCAAAGGAACTTTGTCTTCCTGGCTCCTGCCCACCCTTCAGCTTAGTTCAAACAGCACGGATGCAAAGGCTTTGCTGCCTCTACATAGGACGGACGGACGGGTACGCGCGTGTACATACGTACGTACGTACGTGTACACACACACACACACACACACACACAGAGTCAGGCTTCCCCGACATCTGCTTTCCTGGTTCCCTGCACGTTCACTTCGCAGACTTATCACAGTTCAGGTGGGCGACGGAGCTTCGGCCCCTCTCTCCACACTGCGGGCGGCAGGGGCTCCACAAACAGGTTTGAAGAGGGAGGGAAGGAAGAAGGAAGGAGTCAGTCCAAAAAGCACTGCCTTAGATATCTGAACAAGGCCGCCCTTTTATTTCCTATAACGGCTCACAGCTGCTCACAGCAGCTGCTAGGCCTTCCCCTGGCTGGTGGGGACACAACCTAACCTGGAGGAATGACATTTTCCAGGCAGGGCGGAAGGTCTGCAGGCGCCTCCCTGCACAGCCCCATGCTGGGGGCTGGGGCTCGTCAGCCTGTGCGGAGAGTGACGACACGGCCCAGGCCCCCGGCAGCGCAGGGTGGCAGGGCAGGTGGCGCAGTGCTGAACGTGCGCGCCTGGAGGGAGGGGCACGGTGCACGGACGGGACGTGCAGGAGGGGCCACCCCCACGAGGCTGCAGTGTGCTGTGCGCAGCGCCCCCGGAGCTGGAGCTCGCCACGCGGGCCGTGGCGGGCAGCGCTGTGAAGCCTTGGGGATTCGACATCAAGTGTCACGACGCATGCAAAGCTTTTCAAGCAGAAACAAGTTCCTTTTGGGAGAAGAACATTAATGATTTGCCAAGGACAGGCTCTTTTCTGGGACACGGTCACCGATCAAGTCCCTCCACACCCACCTCCTGCCCTCCTCGCGTTGCAGGCCCTGCTGTTCCCTCTGCACCTCCAGCAGCTCCCCGACCGGACTGCAGGGACCAGCCTTCCTGTGTCCCCAGCCCCAAAACCCAGTGCTCGACGCCCCTGCCCTATCCTTCGATTCTAAGACACATTCTTTGCTTCACATTTTCACGTCTCTACGGTCAGGATCATCTGGCAACGTGGAACACGGTGCATTTAAGGCAGGAGTCCGTCTTCTCCTCCTGAAACCTGCTGTGAAGCCCACAGTGGGCCGATGGGAGGGCAGGATCAGGAAACTATGAAGTTTGCTAGCGAACCGGGGTGAGCCCCCCACCCAGGCTAAGCCCCTGCTTCCTCCTCTCTAGAGCTCGAGGTGTTCTGGGCCTGTCTCTCGGGGCTGCCGAGAGATGCCCGTGGAGCACTGAGTGCCGGGCTGTTCGGAAGTCGTTCTGGGTCTCACCTGTGCTCGGCCATGTTCTCACGTGGTGGGGAATCGGGGCCGTGTAGAGAGAGGAGAGAAAGGCAGGGCCATCTGGGAGTCACCAAAAGTCTGTATTCCGGTTCCTCAAAAGCTCTGTTTTTAATGTTTTATTGTTATCCATAGTGCTTTTGTGCAGAGCACAAGTTGGAAACTCCAGAACCCACTGGTGCAGCCCTACTGTTTCTGGCCCCTTGCCGGTGTGCTCACGCACTCTGCACGGTGACAGCAGCCAGCCTCTGGAGAGGCACAGTGTGGCACTTACCTTTTCCAGCTGCTTCCTTCCTCATGGGCGTTGTTTAAAACACAGCTGACCCTTGAACAACACGGGTTTGACCGGCGTGGGTCCACTGATACGAGGATTTTCTCCTGCCTCTGCCACCCCCCAGACGGCAAGAGCAACCCCTCCACCTCCTCAGCCCACTCAACGAGAAGATGATGAGGATGAAGACCTTTATGATGATCCACTTCCACTTAACAACCAGGAAATACATTTTCTCTTACGATTTTCTTAATGACATTTCCTTTTCTCTAGCTTACTTTATTGTAAGAATACAGTATACAATTCATAAAACACACAGAATAAGTAGTGGACTATTTATGTTCTTGGGAAGGCTTCTGGTCAACAGTAGGCTATTGTAAAATTTTGGGGGAGTCAAAAGTCATACTCGGATTTTGACCATGCAGTGAGGTTGGTGCCCCAACCCCTGTGTTGTTTGAGGGTCAACCATATAATTAAATTGTGGATGTAAATTCTCATTCTTCTTTCCTCATTATAAAAGCAATGCGAGACTGCTAGTGGACACTGGGAAAGTACCAAAAGGATAAAGGCAAGGAAACCCGCCACAACGCCCCGTCCAGTGTGGCACTGCTGCAGGTACTGGGGTGCGGCTCCCTGCCCTCCTTTTTCCCTCTTGGCTTCCACACCATGGTCATTAGACTCCACTCCACCCTCTTCCTTCCCTCACCCTTTCCTCTTCTGCCCAGCATGACACAGAGGGTGTGAGAGGCAGGCAGAGCTGCAACATCATGAGAATCTCTGGGCCACTCTGAACCACAGCCTCCTCATCTTTCCAGCAGAGACGGGACTCCGTTCTTGCCTCAAAGAGCTCTTGTGAGAATTAAAGGGGACCCACACCTTCCTTCTCCGCTTTCTTTTCCCCCCTGTCCTCAACCTTCAGTGCCTCCATGTTTCACCCTAGCCCCTTCTTTCTTCAACAACTTCTAGAAAAAGCCTTCACCTCATCCCATCACCACACACAGTCCTCCAGAACGGGCTCCGCTCATCCCGCTGCTGACCCCGTGTCCTCCCAGGCCCCACGACCTCCTCACTAGCCTCAAAGGCCTCTCGTGGCTTCCATCCTTCCCAATCTTCCTGGGGCCCACCACCTTGTGCCTGGACAGCCCCCGGTTCCTCTTCCTCCTCCTCTTTCTCCAAAGGAAGGACGGCCTGGGCTGTCTCCTCTACACTCTCTTCCTTGGGAAACAGGCTCGCTCCTCCAGCTTCTCTCACAACTTCTGTACAGCCAAGTTCAGAAATCTCTCGTCCAGAGCCACCGCCTCCGCCCGAGCCCCAGACTCACGCCCCTCCCAGCCTGGCGCTCGGAGCCCCCACACTCAGCCAGCTCGCCCCAAACTCGATTCCCAACGTCCCTCCTCTAACGCGTCTCTAAGTGCCCCTGTCTCTGTCAAAGGCACCACAACTTTTCACAGACTCCTAAAAGCCGTCTTTGATGCCACCCCCACCCCTGCCGTCAAAGTCAACAGATTCTCATTCCCACCCTCCTGTCTGGGCCTCCTGTGGCAGCCTCGCCACGGCGCCTCGCGCCTTTGGCCAGAGCTAACGTACGGTTCCCCGATCCACCTCCGCCCTGAACCCCGGCCTTGCACCCTCCAATCCACAGGTGGCTCCCATCTACGGACGACACCCTACGTGCTAATTAAGCTGGTCTACTCCCGCTCCCAGGCCCATCCATGCGTCCCCACCTCCCTGTCTCATGCAAGCTGATTTTTCTGCCTGAAACCTTCCTCCCCCTTGATTTCTTTCAAATCCTATTCTCTGAGCCTTTAGGAGGCTTTGCTTAGCCTGCCAAACAAAAGCCTTGTTACTATGTTAAAGAAGCAGGCTACGTTGGGAGATTTGAGACAATATGGAAAAAAATATGTATGAGCTAACACTAAGTTAAAAAGTCAAGACGGAAAATTGCACGTAAACCCCAACTTTGTCTCAGGAAATGTATAGAAAACCAACAATGGAATACGTCTTTGAATCTCCTTAGGGCTGAAGGGGGTTTACATTGGGAGCAGGGGGAGTTTAGTAGATTTGTTTTATTTTTCTCCACATATCTGTAGTCACGAAATTTCACGTTCCATTTTATAATCTTTTCCCAAATAAGCTTGTATCCCTTTCACAATGTGAAACTACCTTGCAGGTCTACCCTTTTCCCCACAGACCGTCAGCTGTGATAGAAGGGGAGAGATCTGGAGGTGTGGAGAGTGAGTTTTAAAGAGGGGGCCAGAGTAGACGGTACCCAAAAAGTATGCTGCCATAGAAACAGACTTTTGTACATTGCCCCAAAACTACCTCTTTTCAACTCAAACCACATGGTCAGGACAAACAGCTCATCCTGGCATGATGACAGGAAAGACCAAAGGAAAAGAAAATCACATGACCCAGCGTCTGGGAAGAACGCTTTGCTTGCGGGACTGGAGGGTCAGCGCCCTGGTCAGTAAGTGCAGAGATGAGGGAGTCTTCAGGGCAGCTGCGCAGAGACGCAGAGACGGGTGGTGGGACGTGCGTGCTGCCCGCTCCCCCGCTACCACAGCGCTTTAGTGCCGCCTATTGTTTATTTTATTTTGAGACAGAGTCTTGCTCTGTTGCCCGGGCTAGAGTGCCGTGGCGTCAGCCTAGCTCACAGCAACCTCAAAGTCCTGGGCTCAAGCGATCCTTCTGCCTCAGCCTCCCGAGTAGCTGGGACTACAGGCGTGCACCACCATGTCTGGCTAATTTTTTCTCTATACATATATTTTCAGTTGTCCAGATCATTTCTTTCTATTTTTCAGTGGAGACGGGGTCTCGCTCTTGCTCAGGCTGGTCTCGAACTCCTGACCTCGAGCGATCCTCCCGCCTTGGCCTCTCAGAGTGCTAGGATTACAAGTGTGAGCCACCGCGCCTAGCCCCATAAATTTCTTAAAGAAAGGGAACAGCAAAGCCTTTTACTTTGGCTTACTATATATTTTTTGTTTATTAAAAAAAAAAAAATCAAAGATGGAGGGCAAACAGTTGAAAATGTTTAAAATCTGAGTGCTCTCGAGCACTCCCGTGCCCAGCATTCACATTTCCCAAACCAAAGAGATGAAAATACACAGACTGCAAGAAGAGAAAAAAATGAATCAAACTGGTACCCACTTCAGCAAAACTCCAAGCTACCTGATGTGTGAGGGGAAGCGGGACTTTAAGAGAAAGAAATAAAGTGATTTTTGGCTGGGTTGCATATAAATTATATCCAAAAACAATGAATTGCTACAGGAATAGTATGGGGTGGGAAGTTTCAACTAGTTCTAGACTAATGGCTTGTGTTTCATTTCAAATGAGTCATGATTAAATTGGGGAAGCCAGTCTATTTAGAAGCCAGCATTACCAAAACATCTCAAGGGATAAATCGTGGCCTGAAATGTCTCTAAGTGGCATCTGGTTTAACAGAAATAGGGAGTTAAATAGATGTGCCTAAACATGAATAAATTCCTAGGACTTCTTTATACCTGGCAATGAAATCATTAGGTCTGAATTAACAGGTTTCTCCCTCTGAAACCTCTACCGTCCTGCTTCAAGAAACTTCCAACCTCCCCGGGCCAAAAAACCCAACTTTTTTTTTCTTCCCAGACTCTAGAACTGTGAGAAACATCTAGCTTTTAACATCTGGATCCAACTGTAGTTCTCGCCACCTTCTGCCTTCATCTCTGCAAATCCCCTCCCAATAAAAACGGCCATACCCATCAGCACAGCTTGTCTTTGGGCTATACTTTGCTTCAAAGTAACCTGGATTCAACCTTCAACCTTCCACCACCTGGATTCAAGATCAAGCAAGGATTGTCTCCATGCATACATCTCACCTAGAGACCCCACCCAGTGCTCAGGGGTTGAAAACTTTTTAAATAATTTCCTTCTGACCAATGCTTTCACATTCCACCTCTGGAAGATGCCCAATTACCTCAGCCTCAACCAACCATTTGCAAGATAAAATCAGTTTCACGATCCAATCAGCATGTTCTCTCACCCCAACTCATACTTTGACCTATGTTCTGGTTGAGGGGATAGAAGGCAAAAATTATGGATGCAGAGGAAATGCTAGCTGGTTTGTTACCTGAGAAGACAGGGAATTGTCTACTCGGATTTACGACAGGTTGAGCATCCCTAATCTGAAAATCCAAAATCTGAAACTTTTTGAGCACCAACATGATTCTACAACTGGAAAATTCCACACCTGACCTTATGTGATGGGCCACAGTCAAAACTTTGTTTCATACATAAAATTATTAACAATATTGTATAGAATCACCTTCAGCCCATGTGTATAAGGTGTATATGAAACAAATGAATTTCATGTTTAAACTGGGCCCCATCCCCAAAATATCTCATTGTGTATATGTAAATATTCCAAAATCAGAAAAAAATTCCAAAATCTGAAACACTTCTGATTTCGAGAAGGGTTTTTTTTTTTTTTTTGAGACAGAGTCTCACTCTATCACTTGGGCTAGAGTGAGTGCCGTGGCGTCAGCCTAGCTCACATCAACCTCAAACTCCTGGGCTCAAGCGATCCTCCTGCCTCAGCCTCCTGAGTGGCTGGGACTACGGGATCGCACCGCCACATCTGGCTAATTTTTCTATTTTTAGTAGAGACAGGGTCTTGCTCAGGCTGGTCTCGAACTCCTGACCTCAAGTGATCCTCCTGCCTCAGCCTTCCAGAGTGCTAGGTTACAGGTGAGAGCCACCGAGCCCGACCCCAAACATTTTGGATTAGAGATACTCAACCTGTACTTTAAATTGCCTTCCTTAGGATCAGCATCATTTCATAGTGGACGCTGAAGTTCCATCAGATAGTCCGGTGGAAACAAGAGCTGAACTACCCAAAAAGTAGAGCAGGGAGATAGCAAGACTGGGTGAAAAACAAAGCACAGGACAATGAATCTTGGGACCTGCATCCTGGCCTGAGCACCATCACATAACTTTCTGAACTTCAGAGAAGCTTTCTGAACTTGTTTCCTTGGCTATAAACTGGGGATTAAAATATTATATTTTCAGAATTTTAAACAAAAAGTCTTTATAAATTTTTATGTATACGTATTACATATTTTAAAGTAACAAAATTTTTCATTTTGACCCAAAAAGATAACTGGCCAGAGTTGCCTTTCCAGAAACATCTGCCCACGGCCGTGGTGTTCCTGGGCAGGCACGCCAGAGCACCCAGACTCACGCCGCACCGCCTCGCCCCTTCCCGAGGCCTTTTCTCCTTCCCTGCTCTAGGCAAATCTGACCATTGGTGAAGCCACTGGTTCTACGCTTGTGGGAAGTCACAGATCTCTTTGAAAATCTGGGAAAAACTATCTAGGAACGCCCTCCATAGAAAAAGCATGCAAATCCACCTCTTCACACAAATTTGGCACAGAACTTAAGAGGTTTACCTTCCAGATTACAAGCCTCTCCTGGACACCCCACCTGGCGTAAGACTCTCTTCTTCCACAAAATGTCCACGACTCCCCCAGTCCACAGTGGCCATGGCAGAGATGCTCCGTGCTATCAGCATGTTGCACATACTGCTTTCCCCAATTCTGGAAGTTTTGGTGTTGAGACCTCTTTACAAACAGAGTGTATATTTCTCAACTACATGTCTTCCTTGTGGTGCCCAAGTACTGAACGGTCAGAACCCCACTTGCCGGATGTGCATGGATACCCGGCAAGCAGCTGCGTAGCAAGTTATGGCAACTGCGCAATGGGCGCAGGAGTTCTGGAAAACAAGGAGCCTCCCAGCAGTCAGCAGCTGGAGACAAGGGTGCTCAGGCCAGCAGCAGGTGAGCCAGGTACTACCAGAGCTGCGCTTGCAGGCAGAGGCGGGTATGGGGAGGGAGGAGCACCTGGCACCTTCAAGGCACCCCGTTTCCTTCTGCTGAGGCCCTTCACGTCTCAAGTGCCTCAGAAAGGTTTAGACGCAACACACATCTATTCTATTCCTGACTATTTCCTCTGTGGTTAGGAAAGGCACCAGGCTCCTGTTTCTAAACAGGGTAAGTAGGCCGCAAGACCCGGTGAGTCACGCCAGCGAGCTGACTCTCACGGGCAACGGATACGACGTCTGTGGGCGGCGAGCAAGCAGGACTGCATCGGGCGCCCACAGAGGACCAACGTGGGCAAAGCCCAGACACAGCGACAAGTTTACCGTGTGCGCGCTGTCACCTTCTGTCGCAGAGGGAAACGCCCCGGGTACTTACCGGTATTTGAGTAATTCTGGAGAATATTTTGACTTGGCTTTGAAAATCACCTGCAACGACAGAAAAACACGGCAAGTTGGGGTGTGATATATTGACACCGAAAAATTGATATCATCGCCTGGGGTTCCTCTGTCCCTTTATACACAGGTGCTGGGCTCATTTTCTGAAAGTGAGGTCTACATTTTGTGAGAATGTTTGTTATGCCAAATGCTTTTTTATGCCATGCACATAATTTTAAAAGTAAAGGCATTTAAAAATGGTTAAAAAACAAAAATAAAGGTGTTACTCGTCTACTCCTGCCAAGTACTTCTTATTTTAAGATTCTTATTTAAGATAAACAGTCCACCCTCTTTATTAGAATTTTTGCTGGCACCAAATTAATATCGTTGAATATAAGTGTCTGCAGGCCTGAAACTTTGCAGTATGTTTAAAATTATAAAACATCTGCTAAATTTGACCAGCTTTAAAAAAAAATAAATAAATAAAATTATAAAACATCTTTGGACTATGGAAGTATCCAACTAGGCTGTTTTCTAAGAGAAAAATACTGCAGATTGGAATTTCTCGAGCTCTTTAGAACCTGCACAATTGCTGAGGTGCCCACGCAGTCAGTGTGGAGCCTGGCCTTTGAGAAGACAAAGAGGAGACAGAAAGCAGGTGTTGGCCAGTTGCGGTGGCTCACGCCTATAATCCCAGTGCTTTGGGAGATCAAGGCGGGAGGATAGCTTGAGGCCAGGAGTTTGAGACCAGCCTGGGCAACACAGCAAGATCCCATCTCTACAAAATATTCTAAAATTAGCTCATCATGGTGGTGTGCGCCTACAGTCCCAGCTACTCAGGAAGCTGAGGCAGGAGGATCCCTTGAGCCCAGGAGTCTGAGGCTGCAGTGAGCTATGACTGAGTCACCACACTCCTGCATGGGCCACAGAGCAAGACCTTATCTCCATCCATCCATCAATCAATCAATCAATAATAAAATAACGTGCGTGTGAGAGGACAGCACTGGGAGAAAAGAAAGGGTGTGGGAGAGTGGAAGGGAGAGGACATTTTTCAGAGATGATCGTCGAGCATCAGAACACCCACATTCCAACAAGCCTGGACCCTTAGACCAACATCTCTCCATTCTCCCCCTTCCCGCCCAGCTCCAGCCCCTGGCAACCACCATTCTACACTCTGCTTCTGTGAGTTCGACTTTCTTAGATCCCACTTATAGGCGGGCGCACACGGTATTTGCCTTCCTGTGCGGGCTTACTTCACTCGGCATAGCGTCCTCCAGCTTCGTCCACGGTGAGCGAGTCCTGGGATCGACCCTCCAGCACGGCGACCCCCGTGAGCAACACTGCACTTGCAACTTGCCAAGAGAGCAGACCTTAAGTGTTCGCGTCGCAAAAACAAGGTGGGGGTGATGCGCGTGGTGGATACATTCATTAGCCTCACTGTGGGACTCGTTTCACTGTGTACACTTATGTCAAGGCAGCGCATTGCACACTGCGAATACATACAATTTTTATTTGTCAATTATACCTCAGTAAAGCTGGGGGGAAAAATAAGACCGTCGTTCCTTACTTCCCAAGCAAACAGTTCCCCCGCCCTTGACCTCTGGGCCTTTCCTCCTGTGGCCCTAGGCCTGTGCCAGCCCCCCGAAGCCACCGCCCTCCCTCACACATCCCTCCTGGGCCCCTCTCCCTCCTGGGGGCCCTAGTCACATTCGCTCGTCCCCTCTTCTCAGCTCTCTTCGCACGTGGCACTGCTCTCGGGATCTGCTCAGACCCCACAAATATCTGCCCAAGGGACAGAAACCTGTTGCCTGAGGGGGGATCAACTCAGTGCCAAGCAGGGAATATGAGCTTCGGTTCTGGTCGGGGGGAGGGGACAGGCAGCTCTGGGACCCGTGGGGGCACACGAGGGGTTAGAGACAGTTGCCCCTTGTCTGAGGAGAAAGCAGGAGGAAACCCATTTGCTGGACTGGAGGGAAACTTGAAAGTAACTGCAGGAAATCCCTCAGCAGACGTCACAAGGCGGGGACCCCAGTGTGACTCTGTGGGCCAGTTCCCAGAATACACAGGCAACGGGAGGAGCCACTTCCCCTAGGGAACCTTCTAGAAGACATTCTGAGGACTTCAGTAGCCATTCTTGGACTCATATGTGCAGAAGAATCACCTGGGGAACCCGTGAAAAACACAAATCCCAGCTCTCCCGCACCCCCTTGCAGAGATGCCAATCCAGCAGGTCCAGGGTGGGGCCCAGGGATCTGCATTGTAAAAGCCCCCCTGCATTCAGTAAGTTCCCCCAGGTGATTCCGACACAGCCAGCCCAAGGACCACCTCCTGAGAAATACTGATCTGAAGAGAATGAAATTGCCTGACCTCATATTCTTGAATAGCTTTGCAATCTTCTTCTAAAACGTACGAAAGCAGGCGTTCGCGATAATCCGACGGCGTATGAGTCAGAGTTGGCGTATGGGGGTAAGAACACGGGTCAGAGAAACACGGAGGCCACAGACAGCCCCACACGTGCACACACAGGCCCCACCTCAAACTTCCAACAACACGCTGCCAACAGAGCTGCTGCTTCGGACATCAAAGGGAGAAGAAACTACAGCAGTAAAAAATTATTTGGCCTTGTCAAGGAAAGACGCAAGTTTTGCTTTCACATTTTGCCACCCTTCGTGGGGCTTACTCGGTGGTAAGTAACTCAGCCTAACTTGCTTGGACTACTCTTATCTTGATAAGGAAAACCCCCATCTGTTACTTGGCACATCAGCCACCTGAGACCCCACCCCTCACGGAAGACCCGCATCAGCATAGTACTAACCTACTACCTGGCCCATCAACTAATCTACTACCTGGAGCATCAGCGTGACACTAAATCTACTACCTGGAGCATCAGCGTAACACTAAATCAACTGATAGTGAGCACCGAGTCTGCTCCAGACACCAGCCCAATTATTGGGCTCAAAACCGCAAGAAATAAGGAAGAGCAGGCCCCGTCCTGGGGAAACACACAGCCAGACACACACGTCAGCGAACAGGCAACAGTGGTGTGAGGAGGTGTGGGGAGGAGTGAGGAGGTGTGGGGGGGGAGTGGGAGGAGTGGGGAGAGTGAGGAGGAGTGGGGAGGAGTGAGGAGGAGTGGGGAGGAGTGAGGTGGTATGGGGAGGAGGGAGGAGGAGTGAGAAGGTGTGGGGAGGAGTGGGGAGGGAGGAGGTGTAGGGAGGAGGGAGGAGGAGTGAGGTGTGGGGAGGAGTAGGGAGGTGTGGGGAGGAGGGAGGAGTGAGAAGGTGTGAGGAGGTGTGGGGAGGTATAGGGAGGAGGGAGGAGTGAGGAGTGAGGAGGTGTAGGGAGGTATGAGAAGGTGTGAAGAAGCCTGAGGACCTTGAGGAGGGGTGAGGAGGTGAGCAGGGAAGGTGGCCGGAGGGGGCTGGGCTGTGGATCCGGGCCAGCAGGCGGCAGTCTGCAGCCAGGAAAGGAGTCCCTCCCTCAGTCAGAGTGCCACGGAGTGTTTCAGGAGAAACCAGAGCTGTGCTACGAGAGAGGGGCCCGGGGTGTGGGCCAGAAGCCAAGGGCCTGGACATGGGTTGACAGAGAAGGTGAGAAGGCAGGTGTGTGTTTAAATGCAACTCACAGACATAACGCAGATCAGTGGATGCCCAGGTCTGGGGGACAGCTGGAGAGAAATGGGGACTGACTGCTAATGGGCACAGGGTTTCTTTTTGGGGTGATGAAAAAGTTCTAAAAGGGACTGTGGTGATGGCTACACAACTCTGAACACAGTACACTTTTGAATGGGGGAATCGTATGGAACGTGAATCTTAATAAAGCTGTTACAGGCCGGGCGCAGTGACTCATGCCCGTAGTCCCAGCACTTTGCGAGGCCAAGGTGAGAGGATTGCTTGAGGTCTGGAGTTCGAGACCAACCTGGCCAACACAGCAAGACCCCGTGTCTACAAACAAATTTTAAAAATTAGCCAGGCATGGTGGTACACACTTGTAGTCCCAGCTGCTCAGGAGGCTGAGGCAGGAATATTGCCTGAGCCCAAGAGTTTGAGGGTGCAGTGAGCTGCAATGAAGCCACTGTACTCCAGCCCTGGCAACAGAGTGAGACCCTATCTCAAAAAAGATTTTTTAAAAAGCCGTTATAAAACCAAAAAAGAGCAGGGAAGAGGTCGAGTGGCCCCCCTCAGTAGTCAAGGCCTCAAAGCCTGCGGGGGAGAGAGGCCGGGGCAGTGTCCAATGGTGCCCAGCAGATAGAATCAAGGTGGAGAACGAGCCATGGGGTCTGGCCACAGGCGGGCTCAGCCAACCAGGCAGGGCCCTGGAGGGGGAAGTGGGCAGACGCTGGCAGGAGGAAGTGAGAGCAGTGAGTCAATTCTAGAGCATAAACCACTCTTCAAAGATGCGTGTTTGGGAAATGCAAGACAGAGCTTACTCGAGGGTGCAAGCATCTTGCTCTAAGACCAGGTGATGCAAGCATGCTTGTGGGCAGGCAGAGCCTGGCCCCCGAGAATGGCATAGCCGGGAGAGGCAGGAGGGCAGGGGCATAGCGGAGGGCAGGGAAACTGAGGCAGCAGGAAGGGGGGCAGAGGGAGCGTGGGGGGACAACTGTGGGGGAAGGGAAGTCAGGTGGGGGAGCCCCAGCTGCTTCTGGGGAAACTCGATCAGGAACTGAACAGTGAGTACGCGAGGGTCCCTCCTTCCCCTCCCCTCCCTCGGGCGTCTACACGGTCTCTGAAAACACCAGGGTTTTTCAGGGCTTCCGCCACAGTGGTCAAAGGGATGGGAGGACAGGGGAAGCAGGATCAGGCTCGACGGAGAAAGAGGAAACAGCAGCAGCTTTCACCAGAAACCTTGAAGTCCATCATCTCATGAAAATAAAGCATTTTCCCCACAAAAGCAAATTCCTTTTGGTTTTCGCGTCACTTCTGCTTTTGCAAGTCTACCCAGAACAGGTCAAGGGGTGGCGCTGTGAGTGATCCTGGCCCCCGGGTGACTGCTGCAGGGCGAGCTGCAGCTGCAAGATGCCCCCAGCGGGCCACTGGAGGCCGGGCAGG